CATTCTTACGACTAAGGATGGAGCTGTGAAGCTTGCGGATTTCGGCGTGGCAAGTAATACGACGGCTGCCGGAGCTGCGCATGACGATGCAGTAGTAGGAAGCCCATATTGGAGTGCGTTGCATTTGAACCTTATTCGACGAGTACACGCTAACGGCAATCTAGTGGCACCGGAAGTTATCGAGCAATCCGGCGCAACAACTGCGTCCGATATATGGTGCGTTGACATGTTTAGCTTTTGTGTACAAGTTCTGACCGAACGTACAAGTTCTGACCGAACGCTTGAAGGAGTGTAGGCTGCACCGTGATCGAGCTCCTCGAAGGTCGACCACCCTATCACTTCCTAAAGCCCATGCCCGCTTTATACCGCATAGTCCAAGACGACTGTCCACCAATCCCCGAAGGCGCCTCTCCCATCGTTAAAGACTTCCTCTACCATTGTTCCCAGAAGGACGTCAACTTGCGGATTTCGGCGAAGAAGCTGTTAAGGCATCCGTGGATGGTGCAGGTGAAGAAGCAGTTGGGTGTCGAGTCGGCGCCAGGACCGAGTGCGGGGGGCCAGACGTCGAGGACTGCGAGTCAATATAACTATGATGAGGCGGTGTTGAAGGTGCAGGAGTGGAACGAGGCGCTCAAGTGTGCGTTGGTACTATCTCCACCCGCGTTCTCTATGTACTCATATGGATTCGGCAGCTCCAAGACGACCGTCGAAGCACCCGCGTCGCGGCCAATCTGTCCGCGATTCCCCGCCAGAGTCGCCCACGGAAACGGCGTTCGGCCTCGTCAATGCACCGACTGCGAACCTGTCATCGTCGCTTCTCGGTCAAGCACCCGCTCTGAACGGCAAGAAGATGCCGATTGTGGCTAACAAGAGCGTTCTGCCTGTGCCTGCCGTACTCGTTCAGCCCGAAGAACAGACGGATAACTGGGATGACGACTTCGAAGAGGGTATCTCGTTCTCTAAGCTTCAAGGTACAGTCTCCCTTGGTTCGGTCTCACGAGATGCACGTCGCTGATGACTACTGGGATGTAGCGCTTGAGAAGACCGCAGCGGAAGAAGACGCGAAGGAAAAAGAGAAGCGAGAGCGCGAAGCCCGTCGCGAGCGTGAAGACGCCGACAACGCCAAGACAATCCGGCCCTCACGCTCCCCAGGCGGCGCGCCCTCACCCTCATCCCGCCCGCGCGCCATCACGCCCATCGTCGAGGACTACTCCGATCTGGGCGACGACGGCGACGACGCATGGGCCGAGCGATTGCAGATGTTTCAACAGCGCAATCCCGCCGCCGTCGTCCAAAGTGGGAGCACGAGGAGAGGCTTGTTTCATCCGGACGATATCAAGACGCTCGGGATCTCTGGCACGGGCGGCAATATGAGTCCTGGACCAAGGACGGCTCCGTTGCCGTCTGACGGTAGCCCATCCAACACCTTCCTATTCGGGAACATGCAATCTTCCGCGGCTGGCGCTTCAGGATCCGGCTCGATGTCAGGTAGACCGAAAGCGGATAGAGCGTCTCGGCGCGC